TCCTCTTGCCATCAACACCTACCTCTTCCCAAAACCCCCAGCTTGAATCTCAATCTAGCACTCTTTTGCTATTTAAACAGCAGCGTTATTGCTTATTCATTGATCCAATGAGTAAACAGTAAGTTATATTGTTTTCCTCTGTTGGTTCCTAAACATATCTTATAGGTCATCACTTTTGTTCTGCTACATTTATATCCTTCTTTTTAATTGCATTAAAACCCTGTTGATTGTGAGATTTTTGAGTCTTTACATACTTTTCAATAATTTTGTAATTCTCTCTAATTATAATAGCTTCCTTCTGTTTCTTTCACTGTAGCCATTTTATTATACATAGTTACAATATGGTATTATTACTAATATTTTTTAAAGAGTATTCTGTGTGAGTCCTCTTTGTGACCATCACTAACGGTCACTAGATTCTCATCTACATCAATCAACACAGGGCGATATCAGGGAGGACTTGTTTGCCATTTTAATTGATTTTAGATGTTCTTTGTCAGTAGGTGTATTTATATGTTTTTCTACTTTATTATTAATTCTCATTAAAATTTGTTACATTATCATTACCTGTTTGATTATTATAGACAGCTGCTATTTTGGGATTCTGTATTTTCGGGGAACTTTGCTTATTATAGATATTCTGTGTGAGTATTGTGTATTCCGAGCAGAATAGCCGAGCCGAATGCCACTGGGAGGCATTCGGCTATTCACTGACTGCTGTTCGGACCCTATGAGAATACAACAGCAGCGAGTAGTCGAACTCCTTCTGCACTTCGGGTAGGCCGAACATGCTGAGCATGTTCGGACGACACATCTGAATCAAGCTGAATCAAGCCGATGTATGGCTGATTTCAGCTGATGTACAGCTGAAATCAGCTGTACAAGCCTGAAGTGAATAGCCGAACAGCGTTTGGGTCGGTTATTCACTTTGGGTCGGTTATTCACACGGCTGTGGTTCACACGGCTGGCGTTATTCACTTTGGGTCGTTTATTTACACGGCTGCCTTCGGGAGCTTTGTGATTAACCTCTCAATGTTTGTTGAGAACAGCCTTTCCAGTTCCTCTGTGCTTTGTTAATTTTTCATATGGCAATTTTAATACAGCTCTTTGTATCTACTTGTTCCTTATATGAGGACAGGACAGGTTCTGAAGCAAATCAAACCTCACAGACACTGGTCTCTAAGGAAAGAAGTATCTAAAACTTACAGGGCTATTCACAAAAGGGTGAAGAGTTTGGAGAAGACAGGAGAAGTGAACAATCTAGGACAACATAGCTGATTTGGGAAAATTCTCCAATTCAGCTCACTTTCCAGTTCAGCCATGTTGTCCTAGATTGTTCACTTCTCCTGTCTTCTCCAAACTCTTCACCCTTTTGTGAATAACCCTGTTAGTAACCAAAGCCTGAATAATGAAGTTTCTAGGTGTGCTGGAATCCAGGGATGTTTAATTCTGAAGCTGCATTTTCTAAAAGAAACAAAAGCTTCAAAGATTATGGTTGGGATGGGGGGAATGAGTGAGGTAAATTGACATGGCCAGGCACCATGCTGCAAAATTTGAGCAAGGGTTTCTGAGCTTCTATCGCATACTCAGTATTTCAGACTCATATTCCCCAAATCTAAATTGACCTTCCCATTACTTCCTGTTTCAAAAACCTACAGCCCACATAACTCTCCCTTGGCTCCATAAAAACACTGTAAATACCTAGGTGACAGAAACTAAAAGAGTTTCCTGGAGACAATCATCTGAAGACTTAGTTTATAGTCATCTACATTTGCCACACATACAATTGTGCATTACTTTGTAGATGACAATGTGTACAATCAAAACCTTTTTTTGTAGCCATGAATGATTAGTTTCTTCAAGTCTAAGAACCAGTATAAGTATACAGTGTAAACTTACCAGTAGACGACAAACACTGAAGAGTAATTTGTCCAAATTTATTGCATTCAATAATTCTGTAATTTGGTTTAACTGAAAACAAAAATATATATATTATAGTATTACTGTACCATATGACATTTTGAATGTGTGCCTAAAGTGAAACTGTGTCCAAACTGTGAACATTAAAGTATTTACATCTTCTAAACAGGCCTTAAAGCAACACAAAATCCTTATTTTTTTCTCCTCATACACATCTACACAATGAATATTCTCCAAAGCCACATTTATGTATGTTTTGAAAAAAGTATTACTATTTTAATCCATTTAGGAAGTTTGTTGTGCTCGCCCCCATTGCTCGCCTCACACCAGTGATGTGCAGTGCCTTCCGTGCTGGATAAGGCATTCCTCAGCCCCGCCCCAGCATGCCCCTCCTCCCAGCACACAGAAGCTCCTCCGCCAGCCAAAGCATTGCCCCCAACTCGGTAACCATGCTATGTGGGGAGGAGGGAGGGAGGAGGAAGGGAGGAGATAGGGAGGAGCCTCCCTGTCCCTCACTTGCTCGTCACTGGTGAAGCATCGAGATCAATGTCCTCAGTGTTTTCTTTTTCTATTTTTTGATTGGACAACTTGCACCAATGGCGCTTTGCCATTGGTCCAAGCGGCATTCGGCTTGCCTATTCTGTTCTGTACCTCCGTAGTACTGAGCAGAATAGAAAAACTGTGAAAAAAGCAGAAGAAAAAAAATTTGACAAAACATGTTTAAAAATGTAAATTAATGATACATTTACAAAAATAAATAAAGATTTTTTTTAAAGAAAAAAATTAATGATTATTGAAAAAAAGAAAAAATAAACAATTGGGCGGAGCTAGCAGTGACAGCCAGCTCCACCCGACTGTTTCCTATTGGCCTGGAACTGCTACAGTCTTCTAGCAGGTCCCGGCCAACACCCGAGGCCCCCTATAACAAGAAAATTGTCAAGTAGTTGTTGCTAGTGCTGACCTTTTAAAAATACTAGTTCCTTGCCTTTCTGTGGTTGTAATACTTTCTTGAACACTGACCCAGAACCAGCACCCAGATTAGAAAGGTATAGAGAAGTCAGAGCTCCTGATCTGCATAATTGTAGATCAGTTCTCAATAAGTATTAAAGCCATTAGATCAGAATGACAGCCAGGAAACTAGCATTCTAATATCCATAGTCTCCAAGTTTTCCTCAAGGAAAAAAAACATTTTCTTTTTATTTTGGAGTCCACATTTTTAATTTATTTGAATTTGTTATTGAGCTTATATAAACTCACCTGTATCAATTCTAGAATATTAAGTGGAAGTTCCTGAAAAAAATTTAAGAATATAATGAATTTAATTATAGAATGTACCTGGTCTTGTCATGTTTGCAAAGAAACAATATTTTAACGTTTGAAAACTTTAGAATATACTACCCGGCAGTGGATTAATAAGAAATTTATGTTTTCATAACATTAAATTACAAAAAGGCATCTATAGCAGTTATACTTATCATATTTATTTTGAAATGAAAGTGAGGTTTAGTTTTACCCACCTGAACAATATATATAAGATGAGAAGTATAAAAGATGTCTAAAACATAATAGCATTTTTATTTCCATTCGTATTACACGTTTTATTGCTCATCCATTTAAACTGAAGATAAATGAAACAGCGTTACTTTGTATGTCTCCATCTCACATCTGTGCAGTGTTTATAAAAACACTGCCTCAAAAGGTCTATTTTTACAGCAGCAGCTTTGAGATCTTCTGTATTTGCAAAGCATTTTGACAGCCAGGAATGGTCATCAAATGCAGGAAGGGGAGCTGCTGTGGGACAGAACTTACTGCACATGTCCTGTGTACTTTGATTAGGTTATTTTGGGTGTCCGTAGAATGTCTAATGTCCACAACTGATTAATGTGAGTCTCCAGGTAAAGGTATCGGAAAGCAAATTTGTAAAGTACATAGTTGTGTTTCATAAATGTGCTAGAAGTTGTTTTCTTAGAAAAGCTGTAATATGATCATGATAAGGGCTTTAAAAATGTGACCTGTGAGTAATATAAAGTAACATGGCATAAATAACTCTAAATGAAACATGTTGAAATTAGATGAAACCAACTCCAAGTAACCATACCAGTAGTTTAAGGATATCACCCAATGTACATTCAAGATCAATGGCTAGCACATTCTGGAAAAAAAAATAAGTGCATGTTTTAAAGATAAACTATACATAATCACACTTACAAGTTTTGAAAATATATTTAAATTGGTCCTGAACTCAAAACATCAATGTCATTTCTGCCTAGGCAGTACCCTAAATATATAATTTATTTCTGAAATGTCTACTAAAAAAAAATCACTTTCTGTGCCTAGGCACTCCTGTTCTGCAACCTCATAGCTCTATATCTGTAGTGTAAGAGCATCTAAAGCACTGATGCCCCTAACCTTTAGTCTTACTAGATCTGGAGTGAGATTTAGTGATGCCACTACTGTGCTACTCACTGTTATGCTTGATGGAGAGGAAGCTGTAACTAAGGACTTGCAATACAAGAATCTTCCTGCATCTGCTTCATCCATTCTGTGAACTGCAGCTTCTTGAGCATTCTCCCACCAGTAATCAGATCTCAGGGGGGCAGCTCTGACATGAGCAAGCAAAGCCCTGCCTCTTCAAAGATACCCACCTCCACACAGTGATACAATGCACACTTAGGTACTGTAACTCAGTAATGGAGAAAAGATAAGCTGCAGGGAGACTATTGACAATACAGGTGAACAGTCCTCTGCCCTCTCATTGTCTTTTTCAAGCGCAGCTTTCACAGTTTATGTTTGCATCTGCATCATCTTCTTCAGCCATTCCACGGAACTGTGCCTCCTCCACCTTTACTGCTACTTCTTGAACATTTCCCCACCAGTAATCAGATCAACAGGTATCAGGGGGGCAATCCTGACATGAGGAAGCAAAGCCCTGCCTCTTCAAAGATACCCACCTCCACACATTGATACAGTGCAGACTTACCATAGGTATTATAAGTCAGTAATGGAGAAAATATACTCTGCAGGGAGACTATTGAAAATACGGTTGTCTGCCCTCAGTTTATTGTAAAAGCTGTACTTACTGTAATTGTCTCTATTGACAATACAGGTGAATAGTCCACTGCCCTCTGCTTGTCTTTTTTCAAGCACAGCTTTCACAGTTTATCTCCACTTTAACATTTAAAACAGAATCTGCATTTTTGTTATAGCAGTATTAGCTTTGGTATAACTTTTTCTAAAAGGCATTGCCAGTATTTTAATTGTGGGTAAGGTTTTTTTTGCATTCTTTAGCTTTTCAGTTTCTACGCTACCTTGATGGACCTTTAGTATTCTGGCGTAAAAAACAACAGGTAAAAGACTTATCAGAAACCACACGGTATAAATATACAAATATTACATTTCACTGGAATCGTTTATAGTTTACTTTTAAGTAAAAAAGTAACATAAATCCAAATTACCAAGTTATGTATCAACTCTTCCACTAGGCATTTCTGTCTTGTTTTTCTTTCCTCTTCAGGACATTTCTGCAAAAAATACACAAATTAAGAACACATATGTAAGTATACTGCATTGAGATTTTAGCACACATCTATCTATCTATCTATCTATCTATCTATCTATCTATCTATCTATCTATCTATCTATCTTTGTTGATTATGTATTCAAAAGTGGGCACATTCTCGTTGTAAGGATCCATGCAAGTAAGCTTCTCATTCAATCCAACCCCTATAATGTCCACATTAATATATGTCATCCTGGCAGTCTATATCAGTGGAGCACCATTTGGAATTTGATACAAGGAAGGCTATCTCTGCAAAATAAGTAGCAAACAATTGAAACACTTGGTAAAATAATGTTTACTCTATATATATCTCAGATGAATAAAACATGCAGCAGTGAGTCCACGCATTGGTATTTCAACCTGCTTCAAGCTCCTTTTGTATTCCCATTGACTGTTATGGAAAGAGAAGTCCTTCTAATAGGAACAAGTTTGTGCACACAGGCTTTTAGGGCTCATTCACACTTTTTTATTTAATATATAGTATATAGTATTCAGAATTTTGACATTTACCTGCAAAGTCCCAACTTTTTGTGAAACTGCCTGCATCCAGCGGACATGGTACTGAGCCTTATTTTTCTGAAAACAATTTGTAAATGCATTAAATAAAAAAATAAGGCTAACAAATAAAAACACTAAGGGGCTAATTAATATCTATTCCTATGCTCCTTGGCTCCACCTAGTGGAAGTAATGTGCTGCAAATGTTATTTACACAGCTATACACTGTGCAACTGCATTATAAATCAGCCCCATGAAAAAAAAATAAAAAAAACATATATATATTGTGACAGGGTACACGATTCTGTTAGTGACATGTTAACCATGGCATGTAAAATATCCCAAGAGTCTTTCGAAACATAGAAGCAAAAGCATAGAAGTTTCTATAGAAAAAGATCAACTGGTCCATCGAGTTTGCCAATTTGTTGGGGGTTTGTTTGTTTTTGTAATCTTTTTTTGTCTGAGTATAGATCTATGTTTATCTGAAGCATGTTTTCACTTACTGTTGGCTGATTCACTATCTCTACTAAAGTATTTTCCTAACATCAACTCTTCTTTCAGAAAAAAAAATACTTTGAAGGTTATTTCTGAATTTCCATCCTGCTAGTTTAGGGTCATGCCTCCATGTCTGAATCTTAGCTTCCTATTGAAAATAAACCCTATTTACAACCTTTGTACATTATTGTACTGTAAAGGTTTCAATCATGTTCCCCTCTCCCTTCTTACCTCAAGTCTGTACAAATTAAATTCCTCTCTTCTAATATATTTTATCCCTCAGATCTATCACCATTTTTGTTGCCTGTCTTTGGACTCATTGTATTTTTGTAAATTAGGTCTTCAGAACTGGACACAGTATGGAACATTAAATACCTTGATCAAAAAGGAAAGTGCATTAAATACTTTAGTGGATTTTCAAAATGAATATGTAGAGAGAGAATACAGCAAGACCGGCTGACAGCAGAACCCTGGCTGTTAATATAGATTGAAATAGGGTAAGGGGCCATGTTCTTCATGAACAGCAATAAAGGAGGGATCAATTGCTGCAAGAGTTTACCCATGAATTAGAAAGCATGTTTAAGCTCTCATTAGTAATCATCCTGTTAATGATGTATCTTTAGTTCAGGAGGATGAATGTATTGTTATTTCCAATTCCAAGTGGTAAACCTCAAAATAAATACCATACAATACGCTATATATTACCAAGACACAATAATCAACTGTTTTCTTACATCCAAAGGCTTCAGTTTAGGGACCAGTCCAGAACTTGTTTCTAAAAAAGACATTTTGGGAGATATATTAATACTGGAAACATATTAAGAGAAACAGAGTAAGTTTTAACCTTTTTAAAATACAATTTAGTTTTTAGGTTGAAATCAGAGGAGAGTTTAATATTTCTCTAAATATTGTTTTTCTCAGCCACATTGTGGGTACTATTACCTAGTCTGTGCAAGTATTGTGAACACACATTGAAGTGCGCACTTTTGTGCACGATACGCCATGGTGTGAATGGTCCCTAAGTGCACTGCTGCTCGTGTTCAGAATGAAATACTATATAAAGGGACATCACAAAGATTTAAACAGGTATTGGATAATCTAATAAATACAGAAAGTCTTTATGAAGGCTACATACAGTATATACTCACAGTAAGGCATTGCCCAGTTTCCTAAAAAGATGAACCTCCACTTTGCTCTCTGAATCAGATTTGACTGCACACGCAATATTACTGAAGTACATAGATTTGAGTAGCAACTACTAGGAAAAGGGCTTTCTTGATCAAGTTTGGAGGCCTTGGGTAAAACCTCAATATTGTATGACCTATGTGGTGCTTGTATTAGAGATTATGAAAAATCTTTCATATGTAGTGATCCTCTGTCTCATTATATTTGGCAAACAGATTAACTTGGGTAAATATTGTCCATTTTTCTTATTTGTTGACTATCATTTTATATATTATAGATGAAGTGTTAGGGCAAGGATTATGACTATAAACCATCTACTGAATACACACTATTTGTTTTATTATAAGCACTGTAACAAAGTCTGTTTTTATAACTGTTGGAATAAAATATCAGCAATATACAAAATGTGTTGTATTTAGTGGGTTGGCAGATCCCTAGAATTACATTGTGAGATGAAGCTGTGATAAAAAACTCATTGTGGGGCATTACAATACAGCAAGCAAACTCATGTAAATAGTATGCAAATATAGCTGCCCCCATATTTGGCATAGAAGCAATGCTTTGATTTTTTATATATATTTAGCCCCCTGTAGCTGCCTTAAAACCAAACATAAAAAGAAAATACAAAAATACTGAACCAGGCTTCTAAAAAATCTTGCTTTTAAGCATTTGACCTGTAATCTTTGAAGAGACCGGGAAGACATGCATTGTTTGTAATACCATAGACAGGTTTGATAAACACTTTATTGAAATATATGTTAGCCCAATCACTAAAGTCTCATATCAGCTGTATCATGTAGTTTCAAAGTCATTTTCAATATTTTTACATCTGCAGTTTTCTTTAAATCATATCTGGGGATCCTGCCATGAAGGTCCTTTTGCAGGTATTTCCTGTTATAAGGTGACAATACTATGTCCCTGTCTCCCAGCTGTGCTGCATTGTCACCTGTCACAGGCTATCCTAAAGAAGACTACACGCAGCTTTGTGCATTGCATACACATGTTCTGCTGTTGTCACCGGGGCCCTCCCTGTATTGAGGCAGCCTGAGGCTATGGCCTCAGACGGCATCTCTTTGGGTCACGGGGGGGAGATGTGGGTGGGGCGGCAGGCAGAGTGGCATGTTTCAGGCCAGAGAAACCTGGGATGCTGCATCCTTTCTGGCCAGAACATCCCAGGTTGCTAAGAGCTGGCCGGAAAGATGTGCAATAGCCATACACATCTCCCAACCCAGCTCTTAGAAACCTGGGAAACTCTGGCAAGCGTTTTGCGCCCAACTCCTGGCAACTAGTGACGTCACTGGTTGCCAGAAGCTGGGCGCAACACTGCCCAGAGAGTTCCTGGTTGCTAACAGCTGAGCTCTGTAGAGCCTCCACCACACTTCCTCAGGTGGCAAAAAGGTTAGCAACACCATCAGAAGTGCTATTATGCAATGGAGGATAAAAAATTTTTTAAAAAACAATATTTGTCTAAAAAGAAAAACACACAGCAATTATTAATTATACACAGTGATTTACCAAACTAACTGTCATTGCGTTAGGCTTTACATCTACAAGTATTTATTTTTAAAAGAGACATTGTTAAGAGATACTCTTACCAATAAAGCTGGAGATGCCCAGAAGTAGGAAAATAACGGCAATCTTCATAATGAAACAAGATGTGTGTAAAGCTACTAAGCTTGACAGATTGTTGATGCTCTTTAAGGAGTAAAGCATTTACCATCTCCTTTATATACATCCAGAATAATGCTTGAGGCAGATCTTGTCATCTTCCTTATTTGTTAATTGGCAAGGAATTAATTATTGTCAGAATTCCAGCATCCTATAACAAGGATATTGTGATGTGATTATGAGAATAATCAAAGAACATGCATTTGTTCTCATTTTGTAATTAATTATTTAAGCCAACTTTCTTTTTTTATATAACATGATTATCAAACTAAAAAAATAGGTTGCTTTACTATTTTATTCTTAAAACCTTTTCCACAATAATTTTTACATAAATGTAACTTTCATAGGGTGATCAGTGTTGGTGTCCGATCAATAATTTGTGGTGCTTTGTGTGTGTCTGTGAGAGAAATAGCTCTCCAAGAGCCAGTAAAGTCAAGCAAAGGGCCACATCCAACCCAAAGCTTGCAGTTTAGTGACCACTAACAAATTTTTGTAAAGAAGTCCTTCATTATTGGTATAGTCATTGGCTACCAATAATTACTCCAGATCATCTTTTGTTTTAAATATGTTTTGAGGTAAGAGTTTAAAAAAGATTGTCCCAATGCAAGTTGATAACCCTCCCAGGAACATTAAAACATTAACCCTCCTGATATATTTACTACCATTTTAGGGCTAACAGTGGTTTGGAAAAGCCCAATACCTATCAGCAATCATATTTTTCAGAGCAGAAGCAAATTGTTTTTGCCCCACTCCTGAAGAACCCATTGTAATCTTTTAAATACTGTGTATGGAGTCTGTGCAATATTAAGCTGTCTTTTTGCTGAGAAAAAAAATACATCTAATTTTTACTTTTTTGAATAAAAGCTGAAGGTTGTTTCTCCTGTTCAACAAAAAGTGCTTAAATACTGCCTATGGAATCAATACCATTTATGAAATATATACACTAAAATGAAGATTTGTGGGCTGCAAAACTGCATGCAGTGTGTTTTCAAAATGCCGCCTACAAGAAATTGTTGCAATACTGTTTGTGCAGTCTGTACAATATTTCTTCTTTTAAAGTGTTATTAAAATCAAAAGGTTAAGCTTTTTCAACTGTTGATTACAATGGATGCTCTGCCTTGATGTTTAAAATGTCTGTTTACTGCAGAATTAGCTGGTTCCCCTGAGCACTGATTTCCTATTTTAGGGTGGCTTCTTTCCTTTGCAGGGTGCTATTGAGCCACCATTGTGTGTGTTGGTAAGCTGTGTCTCCACAAACATACAGGCACAGCAGGGCAATCCAATTCTCTGTTCTTTGCTCCCCCTATCCCTTCTCCAAGCTAGTAGATGGACAGAGAGAGCTGTGGTCAGCTATTCGGAAAGATGATTACTGTAATGCTTGTGCCAAAACAAAGAAATACTTTGCTAGGCAATGTATATTTGTTTCATATGGATTCATTGCTAAAAAGACGTTTGAACGTTTAATACTACTTTAAGTAGCGAACATTTTTAATTTTGGGGGATATTCACAAAGCTGCCGAGGGCAGCCGTGTGAATAACCGACCCGAAGTGAAGTGAGCTGAACGCTGTTTGGCTATTCACTTCAGGCTTGTACGGCTGATTTCAGCCGTACACCGACTGAAATCAGCCGTTCATCGGCTTAAGCGTCTGGGTTCGGGTCGGCCAAACCGGAAAAAAAAACAGAGCAGGGAAAGGTTTACTCTGCTCGATCGAGCAGAGTAAACCTTTCCAGGAGAAAGTGTTATCTAATAGCGGTAGACTCCGGAAGGGGATGCTGATCTGTCTCTGCAAGAGGCCGGAGCCAGCCGTGAGGGGTTGAGGCTTGCGTCTCCATCGAGGCAGATGAAGGGGAGTCCGGCGTAAAAACACCTAGTGGGGACTCCGGGAACGATTGCCTGTGTGTCGGAGTATCACTCTGGCCCGGCGCCATCTTGCCTCGCGGGATCCCCTCCTGTTGTTCGTGGCGGTCAAAATATCCCTTAATCGAGGGTGGGAAATTTTTCTGCTGTGAAGCCGAGGATTTCTTCCCGGACTTCTTTGTCTTCTTCTCTTTCATTTTGTGGTCAGAAAAGGGCTGCTATTAGCTGTGGGTCAGCGGGTCTAGGGCGGAGCTCCAGGAGAACACGTCTTCTCACATCGGTAGTTGGCCACGCCCCCTACAACTTCTTTTTTAAATAGCAAACAACTGACAACGAATAATTAAAAATGATAACTGAATACAGTTTTCCCAGATACGCCCCTACAACTTCTACATTTAGCTTGTGTGTACATTTGACAGGACATGTGTATGCCTAAAGTTGCCAAGTACAGACTCTGTCAATAAGGAAGGGACTTTTCGATCGTTTGCTTGTATAAAAATTAGAATTGTGAACATTTGTTCATATTAGCATCCTGGAAATCTGAGATAAATTTGAATACAATGTGACACCTGCTATGTATGACTGAAAACCTGTCCAATATTGACAGTGGGTAATTGCAAGGGGAAATGTATTCTCTAACAATAGAATTAAGCCAAAGTAAAACAAATACTAATTTTTTTGTTAGTTATTCAACTTTTCAACATAGGTAAACATCACCACAAGTAGATAACTCCATATAAGCAAATTACATTTACTTTTAACTATATAGCCAATGACCTTTATTTTCTTAAGTTTACACAATGCAATACTGTAGCTTACTAAGGTAATGTTCAGGGACCACATAATGAGAAATACTCCAAAGACATGCTGGTAAAAAAAACTCCAAAGACATGCTGGTAGGTTAATTGGCTCCTCTATAAGTTGGCCATCTGTGTGTGAGATAGGAAACTTAGAGAGGTAGGGACTGATGTGGATGTGCAACTATGTAAACCACTGCATACATTTTCGGCGCTATATAAATACCTGTAATACCTGTAATAAATACAGATCTGTACATGTCAAGAACATACTTATTTTCGTCATTTGAGCTTTAAAGTATTATGTGCTTATACATATCTGTGATCAGAATATAGCTTACAGTAGACTGACCCCCAACCTCCTAAATCTCATATGCTTTAAGATGATAAAATAATTGAAATACTTTTTTTATGATCCATAGTGCTCTGGTAAACTAAGGGGTCTATTCACTAAGCTGCCGTAGGCAGCCAAGTGAACGACCGACCTGAAGCAAAGTGAGCGCTGTTCGGCTATTCACTTCAGGCTGGTATGGCGGATTTCAGCTGTATATCGGCTGAAATCAGCCGTACATCGGGTGGCTTTGCGTGGCTTCGGGTCGGCCCAACATGCCCAGCATGTTGGGCCGACCCGAAGTGCAGAAGGAGTTCGACTCGGCCGATCTAACATCTGGATCGGCTAAGCCGAACCTCCGGCAGGCTACTCGCTGCTGTTCGGTCTATTCTTATAGATGCCGAACAGCAGTGCGTAAATAGCCGGCTCGAGTGTTCTGCTCAGTCCCTCTGTGGGACCGAGCAGAACAGAAAAATAGTTTAAAAAGTACAAAAGAAGCAGGCTGTCGGCCGGCCAGTGGCCGGCCATTTGGCCAACTTCGGCTTTCAGCGCGGCTCAGTCGGGACAAGGCCGCTCGGCCAACTTGGGGAGCTGTAGGGCTATGGGGAATAGTCCATACAGCAGCCCTTCGGTTCTACTGAACCGAAGGGGTTCTGGGACCGAAACTACCTGAAGGATCAGCCGAAGCTACGGCTAGATCCTTCGGCTGCTTCGTGAATAGACCCTTAAATGTTTTTAGTCAATCTAGTTTGGCATTTAGATCTCCCTTGATCTATTTTAGATCTATCTACTAGTGGGCAGATAACTGAAATTGTCCTGTTTATCTTCTACATGTGTTTGAATTTAGGTTTTTTTCCGGGATGTGATCATGGTTGATTTTGCTTGCCCATTATAAGCTTTTAAAGAGAAACTTTAAAGGCTTAGGGTCAATTTCCTTTTCTTTTTTTGGATGACGGGTGTATGTTATTGATGTGTATGCTATTTAAGTAACTTTTTTTGTATTATATAAAATACAATTAGAAGCAGAAATTATAACAATGTTAAACATATCTAAAAAGATAAAAAGTAGAAATAAAAAAGTAGAAATGTAGATATTAAAAGCAATAAAAGACTAAGGGGTCTATTCACAAAGCTGCCGAAGGATCTGGCCATAGCTTCGGCCGATCATTCGGCTAGCTTCGGCCCCAGGACCCCTTCGGTTCAATAGAACCGAAGGGGTGCTGTACAGGCTATTCACAATAGCCCGTACAGCTCCCGATCATGGCCGAGCGGCTCAGCCAAGTTGAACGCATATGCATCGGCTGAGCTCAGCGGCATTCGGCTATTCACTCACTGCCGTTCATAGCTGAAATCAGCCGTACCAGCCTGAAGTGAATAGCCGAACAGTGTTCTGCCACCCCACACCTCAACCATCTCAGGGGGAAATGTGCTAAAATCTTATTTGTGGGAGAGGAGAATAAAAAGGGCTATTTATTAGGGATGCACCGATACCAGTTCAGATACCAGTGCCGATACTTGACATTTTCATGAGAACTACCAGGGTTGCAGAAGTTGCAGCAGTTGCAGCTGGGACGTGGCTCTTGCGCTCCACCACTATCTTGAAATCATTAGTCGATATTGTGTTAGAAAAACTGTCACATGACAATAAAGAAGTATGTATCAGTACTTGTGTCTGTAAGTACTTGGGCAAGTATCAGTACTTGTACTTGCAAAAATGGTATCGGTGCATCACTTATACACTGAGTGGCCAGTTTATTATGACCACCTGACGTTTGTAGGCAAATTAGCTATAATTTTGCGCTGAAGTTGCTAGAGGGCCAGAACATTATAAATAGGGAAGCAGGCTGTTTACCACGACAGTAGAAGTGATTTGTTTCTGAAGATACGGGTAAACAACGCGATTTAACAGCCTTTGAACAGGGGATGATTGTTGGCGCTCGGAGCCATGGAGCGAGTATCAGCAAAAGAGCAGAATTCGTTAAATGTTCAAGAGGGGCTCATTGTTAAAGTGTTTAAAGACTGGACTGTCAGCCGAAAATCTGGGTCTGAACGTGCGAATTGTGGCCGTCAGCGACTAGTCAATGTTAGGGCAGAACGGAGAGTGGCAAGACTGGTACAAGACAACAGAAGGGCAACAGTGCAGTGTCAGATTCCTCGCATCACCTTTCAACATCTCGTGGAGTCACGAG